TGCCCCAGGGAGTGGGATATTGAAGTACTTGGGTGACCTGACTTGGGAAGGCTCCTGGACCTCTTGGATGACAGGAAGAGCCTGACCTTTGGATCTTGTGGCTGGCAAAGGCAGAGTCAATGAGAATGAGATATGTGGTCTAGGGATACCACCCAGAAGTCCCCCTCACAGTTGCCTGTTGTTTGTGCTGTCAAGGGCATGGTAGATCCTTGTGGAGCCCTGGAAGTGCTCAGGTCTGGGCCAGTTTGGGTCCCAGGCTGGTGAGGGGCAGAGCTGGCCAGCATCTGTTCTCAGCATTTGCTATATGCCATTATCACTCCAGCCTGAAGTTCTGAATTGTCCCTTCTCCTGTCTCCAAATTTTCCACCAAGAGGTGGAAAGATTTCTGCCCTGGGTGTTCAAATGTACGTTTAGCTGTCCTTGACATTGTCCTTAGGTTTGAAGGTTTCTCATTCCACCACGACACCCAGAGGAACTATCTCCTTCCCTCTGTGTGGTTGTCTGGGCCTGAGTATGTATGCACACATGTATGAGCCCACAAATGCATGTTATGCACAGCTAAGCATACAGGTGTCTCATAGAGCAAGCCAGCCTGGAGCATGCCCACTGGCCCTGACCTGGTGCTTCCCACAGCCCCTGGCTTGTACCCGAGCATGGAAAGGACCATAGAATTGTCCAGCCCTGCAGCAGCCTTACTCCAAGCATGTCCCTCAGTGTTGCCTAGCCTCTGCCAAAATGGAGATGATAATTATCCAAATTACTCAGCCAGCAAATATTTATAAAGCATCCCTATGTGCCGGGCATAGCAGGCTCTTGACAGCTGTGTCCATGACAGGTCCCTGCCCTGACTGGACTTACATCTTAGTGTCAGGGAGGTGGTCAGGAAATAGACATATGGGGGTTTGGAAAGTTGCAGAGATGGCTGGCAGTCAAGTGCTTGATGAGCAAGGCTGAGGACCCCAGCTTGGATCTCCAGCATTGATATAAAAAGCTGGGTGTAGCCTGGTTGTGGTGATACACACCTTTAATCATAGCACTTGGGAGGCAGCAGAGGCAGGCAGATCTCTGAGTTTGAGGACAGTCTGGTCTACAGAGTGAGTTCCAGGACAGTCAGGTCTACAAAGAGAAACCCCATCTCGAAAAACCCAAATGAAAACCATGCAATAACAACAAACCAAAAATACCCCCACCAAAAAAAGCTGGGTGCAGTGGTATGTCCCAGCACCCCCAATGCTGGGGAGGCAGAGACAGGAAGATCCCTGGGCTCACTGGTCAGCTAGTCCTGCCAAATTGGTGCACTTCAGGTTCAGTGAGAGACTCTGCTTTAAAAAATAAGATGGAGAGCAACTGAGGCAGATACCCATGGTGACCTCTGGCTTCTACACATACATGCACACATATGCACACCAACATGCACATACATGTGTACTCACACATAGACCAAAAACATAATTAGTTAATAAAGGAGAGTTTGCATTTTTATTGATACTCTAAAGCTCAGAGGAGTGTGACTGGTTGGTCAGACAGGGACTCTGTTGGGTGGGTGGAAGAGCTTTGGAGTTGAGCCTTGAATGGCAGGAAAGGCAGTCACTCAATGACCCAGAGAAGCAACATTCTAGGTCAAGGGTATAGCCAGTGCAAAGGCTCTGAGGTGGGAGTGAGCTTGGGGAGCAGAAAGAGGCCAGTGTGGCTGGGGAGGAGACAGCAGAGTGAGCTCAGGCAGGACTTTTTAGGCCATGCTGGGGAGCCTGGATTTTCATTTAAGGGAGATAGGAATTGCTGGAGGGTTAGGAAGGAGGGAGCACATGGTGTTATTTATTTTTACAGTATCCTCTGGCTGCCATCAGGGAAATGGGGAAGGGGACAGGGTTATCTGAGGAACAGTTGAGATCCAGAAAGTGTGTGGCTCTTCAGTCACTCTTGGCCCAGCTGGCTTCTGCTGTCATTATGGTCTCCATCTTAACTGGACACCAAAGGAGGCCACTGAGCCCAAGGTCATCCCAAGGACTGGGGGTAGTGAAAGGCTCCAGGAAAGGGACTTGGATCAGGCTAAGAGGCAGGGGGTCTTGAGTGCTGCCAGCTTGTCATTTGCAAGGTTCTCCCTGAGACAGATGCTCCGTGGCCCAGCTCCACTCCTCTGCTCTGGCCACTGCTTTGGGCTGACTCTCTTAGTTGAGGTTTTGGGGTCTTGATTTCATGGGAGGATCCAGCCTGCCTGCACCTCTAGTCTCTCCAGCTGCAGAGGGAGACTGCCCCTGATCTCGAGCAGTGGACTTTTAAACAAAGCTTATCCCGGTGTGTGCCTCAGTCTCTCTAGCACTGGAGAGTTGAGATCAGCTGCTGCTCACCCGGGGAGTTTGCTGCTCCTTGGATAACCACTTCCTCAGCCTCCATGACCTTAGTGTCACCTACCCGCTCTGGCTTCACACAGGCAAGAGCGGCAAGAGTGAGTCCCTGGTCACATCATGGTTCAGAGGGAGGACCTGGGACATTGCTTCCCACCTTTTGCCTTGGAACATCCCCTCGTTGTATCCCTTCCAAGACGCAAGTACTCTGGGCTCTACTGGCCCTCAGCCCAGGCAAGGATTTTGGGCCCCTCGCCTAGAGTGGTGCTCAATGCTGCCCCTTGTTTGTTCAGCCCTAGAACTGAGGGCACCGGCCAGTGCCCAGTACTGGCAGAGATTCCGTCCTACAAGGGGACATGGCAAGACAGGTAGGTGGATAGTCTGAATCAGTTTCTAGAACTTACAGCGTGCTAGAAAGGTCACACAAGAAGTCCTTGATTTGTCCACAGACCTAGCTTTGGTCTTCTGTGTCTTGGACTTCAGGTGGAGCCATTTATACCATCAAGTGGCTTCAGGGAGATCAGGCAGAACCTTAACTAGAGGGTCTCCCCACCCCACCTGACCCCACCTCTGTGGATGGGCACAGGAGCCTGAGACATCTGGCAGGATAGGGGGCTCAAGTCCAGAGCCAATGCCCTGCTGCCCAGGGTTGGAGAAGTGGTAGAGGACTGGAACTAAGGCAGTGGGCTGCAAGCCCCCATTCCCTCTCTTCCTTTCTATGTTCCCATGGAGTGTCAGTTGAGGAGGTGACCTCCTCCCTTTCTCTACGTATGCCACTGGAGGGAACCAATAGAAATAGCAAA